TAATAATAATTACATTAATAATAAACAGCATAATTTGTAAAGCGCATATCCCTGCTCGACAGCGAGCTCTATGCGCTATATTCTGTTATAGTATTAACCCAGTAGACATTCTCAGCTTTCTGGGAAGCATACAGTGCAAGCTGCTGATTAAGCGCTCAAATACCAACAAACTGACAAGATGTTTCACTGTCTATGGATGGATACCTATTCCCACCTGGGGGAAGAGAGGGAAATTCGTATAAAGTGCCCATTCAATGTGCACAACGTTGGGTTCTGACGGGATTCGAACCCACCTCCTTACGGTGGTGAATCTGAGAGCCAAACCTCAGCATTACAATAGCCATTTAGTGGTACAGTGGGGAAAGCAAATAAGACGTACTGAAAACAGAAGGAAAGAAAAGATATAGGAACTACAAATGGCTCCCATAAACCACCGGCAACTTGTTTGTATAAACTCTCGAGATATCTAGGCCATTCTCAGCATGAAGAGGTGAACTTTACGTCCAAAGAGATATATCGATAACTCTATCTCCTAAGTTGTGTGAAGGACGTATCGCAAAATGACTTCATCTCCGCCCTAGCGCTTTCGCCGCCCTCTCAATGTTCTCCCGATTTGGTTTACTTTGGACTTTAGGCATTTCGTCTAAAATCTGGAGATCGGCTTATGGAAACTTTGTGAAGCAAAAAGCTCCGCTGAACCTCTGAATACACAGCGCCACGAAGAAGGAGCACCTTCACTGCAACCCTGTCTTCAACAGAAAGGACCGTCTTTTCGGTTTTTCTCCAAAACCTATTAGAAGATCCATCGACGATTTGTAAAAGTGATGATTAAAGGTGTTCATTGACTCATTTCTTTCTATGAACTTGCCGAGGGAAAATGTTTGGGGTTTTTTTTCTTGTTTTTTAAAAGAATAATACTATTATCAAGGAAAAATCAGTAGGGAGTGTTCATTTTAAGTAGTAGTTTAATTTTAAATGCTTCACACACCCAATGACAAAATTAAGATAATGTAGGATGCGGGATGCTTTGATCCTGCCCTTCAAGGCTAACCCAGGCGGAGTGGAAAACAACATTGAGTTATTCAAACTGACGTCTTCTGTATGCAATAGCAATAAATGTTTGTGTAAGGTGAGTGACGCACGACATACTCATCAGATTTCCAGAAGTTTTAGTAAGCGCTTTCAACACAATTAGGTCATATTATAAGTGCTGACGTGCGCTCGTCTCCGAAACGGAAAGTCAGGGTTCGAGCCTCGGTTCGGACACGGATTTTTTTCGCCCCCTCCTGCCCACCCTGACTTCGAGTTGGGGAAGTAAAGGCGGCGCTGAAAGGAAATGGCCACCCTACCATAATAATTATGCCGAAGGCCCAGGAAGTTGTCTAACTAACAAGGCAATCCCCAATGTGCGTATCGGATGCGGGAACAGCTTTACTTTAAATGCTGAAGACTAGAGGTGTTACAAGACAGTAACTAACACAAAAAGGAGGAAAGATAAGAACGGCAAGGTAGACGTTTGATGGAAAAGAAGGAGCAAACGACACCAGAGCACCCGCCAACCACACGCACGTCATTAGTCTGTGCAACAGCTTGTCACGTCCCGGTCAGCGCATCGTGTGTCCGGCTAAGTTCCCACAGCCCCAGACCTGTTAGGATCGGGTGTCATGCACAGGGGGGGGG